GAGCCTAGTGAGGGAGGAGAGACGTTCCTGGGAATTCTTCCAGATGTGATATTGGCGTATGAGAACGTAGGTATAGATATTCGGCGAGGGTACTTGTTACAAGCCGGAAGAGGAAATAGTTCGCTTAGTGGTGGGGCTTTCAATAAGCGGGTAGAGAAATGGTTTGGGGAGGCTGGAGTATTTGAAGGTGAAAGTGAACATAGTTTTCAGATTGGAGGACTGCGAGCGGGAATAGAGGAGGGCTGGAGTTTAGGGGAGATGATGCGGCAGGGAACGTGGAATAGTGTTGGTACGTTTATGTGGTATGGTAACGGAATGTGGCGTGGGTGGAAGCGCGGGATGGATGAAGTATCTTCTTCTTCTTCTTCTCTTCTTCTTCTTCTTCTTCTTCCCCATCTTTTCTCCATCCTCTTCTTCCTCATCTCCATCTTCTCTCCATCACCCACCTCCGTTTTTTTTTCTTTTTCTTTTTAATTTATTTTGGAAATTCGTCGGGCAGCAGGCACCCACGTCCCTCCACTTCTAGAACTCCCTCCTCTTCTCCGGTGCGACGAGCATGGCGGGCAATCGAGTACCGTTCGAGCCTGAGACTAGTGCAGATAGAGAAAGGACGCTSAGCCAATCGGAGCTGTGGAAATGGGCGGACAGAGGCCAAAAGGTGACGACCGGCACATCACACTGCTCGTGGAGGTTGCGTTGCAGGCTCTGCAACAAAGAGTTCGTCGGCACGCTGTCCAAAGTCGTGAAACACCACACACAACCGTCGGTCACTGCCCGCTGTCTGCGCACCACCTGTGAGATTCTTGCTGTCATTCGCAGCAACCACCCGAAAACGACATTGGTCCCTGCGTCGCTGGCGAAATTGAACGACTACTCCAAGGAACAGGGTCGTCCGCCGGTTGTTGTGGATGCGCAGGATCTTGCTCCCGTTGATGTGGCTTGTGCGTCAGGGGAGGTCGGTATGTCGTCGGCAGGGGCAGATGGAGGGCGTGACACAGGTTCGACGGCGGGAGAAGGCAGTGCTGTGGGTTTCGATTCGGCATCGGTTGCTGACAAGGGCGCTCGGGATTCCAGGGGCCCCGACATCCCGGAAGAGATCGCTGAGCACCTGCGGGGTCCTGTTCTGGCTGCAGCTCGCCCGCCACGACCTCCATCGAGTGCACAACAGTCGTCCATGAAGAATTTCGTAGTGGATGAGCTGCAGAGAAAGTATGACCAGGCGGTTGCTTCCTTCTTCTTTGAGAATGCCATCGCCTTCAACGCCGCGCGCTCGGACTCGTATAAGAACATGGAAAGGATCATGAACACGGCGCCGAGATCGAGGAAGATGCTGCGGATGCCTGGATACAATTACCTGAGGACGAAGGCTCTGCCCTCGGAGTACAAAGACGTGGACAAGGATCTTGACAAGATCCGTGAGCCATGGGATGTCACCGGCCTCACCTTGATGACGAACGACACGACAACGACCAGCAACAGGCCGGTCATTAACTTCATTGCAGACGACGATTCGGGGGCTGTTATGGTGCGTAGTGTGGACATGGAGGGGAAGGATAAGTCGGCTCCCGCTCTGGCAAGGATGTGGGTGGAGGTGATACGAGAGTTGGGAGTGCACAGGGTGAATGCGATCTGCACGGACTCGGCACAGGTCAACATTTCCGCGAAGAAGATATTGGAAAACCATGACGACCCTGCGATCAGGAGCATTCCATGGGTGCCGTGCGCATGCCACGTGTGCAACCTTCTCATGTGTGACATTGCTTCGGTGCCATGCATCGGAGAGGTGATTCTGCAAGGCAGGGAGCTCACAACCTTCGTCAAGAGACATCAGCGGGCGTTGGCGATGTTCCGTAAGAGCGGGAGAGAGTATGCAGCGACTTCGAGAGTGTGAGCCGGTGTTGCTATCGACTGTTTCAAACCCGCGGTGGGATGACTCTCCATGGGACAGGGCAGCAGTGACCAGGGCGCGGACGTGCAAGGAGCTGATACGAGACCCGGCTTGGTGGTCGACTGTCTACCGGGCATGCACCATGCTTGAGCCAGTGTATGCCCTTATGAAGAACATGGACAGCGACGGGAGGATGGGTATGCAGGTGTGGTCTTTAGGGATCACGTTGGAGAAGAGAATGGCCGCGATACCGATGGACAGTGAGACAAGGGGCATCGTGATGAAGAAAGTGAAAGACCGTGTGCGAATGATGGCTCTACCTGTGCATGCGGCGGCGTGGATGTTGCACCCGCTGCACAGATCGCCTCGACTCTTCGACGACTTGGCGTCCGAAGAGATTGCGAACACTCTGACTCACTTCGCTTTGATTCATGTGAAGACCTCGAAGGAGTACAAAGAGTGCTGGAACTCCCTGAAGAGTTTTCATCACATGACTCCAGAGTGGATTGGCCCGAACTCCGAGGAGGCTTTGACGAGCGGTCACGTGTCCATGGCGCAATGGTGGTTGACGTACGGGAAAAGGCACCCAACCCTGACGAAGATCGTCGTCAAAGTGTTGAGCATGTGGACCACTGCATGGAGAGGAATTGTCACGTGCGATCTCGTCCACACGAAGAGGAGAAATCTCTTGAGCCCGGAGAACTTGGAGATGCTCGTCTTCATCCACTGGAACAGGAAGTTATTGCGCATGTCGAGGGCGAAGATGGGATTCGTGAACACCGAGCGACTGGAGTGGGAGACACCCGAGGACGAGGCACCATTCGATGGCTTCATGCGAGAAGGGGAGTACGACCCCGCGGAGGTGCGTAGGAGGGCGGCCAACTGGTCGAAATCTTGTGGGCGCACATCGAGAACCACGTGATTCGACGTGCGGGAGATTCAGGAGGAGAGGGAGGACGACGGGGCATGGCTACTTGATGTTTCGTACCGCCCTCACAGAGCCGCGGACGATGAGCGTGGGAAGACTGTCGTCGCTGATTACGACGAGGAGGACGAAGGCGGCGACAGCGACGGTGACGCGGAGTTGCTCGACGTGCCTCTAACGGACAAGCGGTTCACTCGGCGGTCAGGCAGTGGGTCATCCTCCGCGACGGATGTCGCCATCACACCACAGGTTCGCCCTGCGTCCGGTGGGGCTTCAAAGTCATCTTCTATGTCATTGGCCGACGACATTGGTCGCCTTGCACGGCCACGCACCTCCACGTTCGGTGCTGTATCTTCGGTTCAGGGCACCAGCACACCCTCCGACGCGCAGCACACCCCTCTTCCACGAGCCGCGGTGGAGGAGACGGCCGCATGTCGGGGGATGACAGGCGGGGGATCGAGGGATGCTGACGTTGGCAGTGCATCGGCGAGGGTCGTTGAAGACTTTGGTGTGTCTGTGGACGCTCCCGTTCCCGGTCATGCGGAACACGAGGACGGGCACATCGATGCGGGCAAGGATGACGAGCTTCATGACGCAGCGGGGGACAGCCAGTCTGCCGGTGGAAATGCATTCTCCACTGTGGACCCAGGGTTGCCGCTGGGGGAGGGATACGCCTCCCTGTTGCACCACGTTGCACCAATTGCTGCAAGAGGCTCGAAGACGGACTTCGAGAAACACCTGGCTGCTATGTCCCCCATGAGGAGCGATTCCGGGGGGCAGACTCCTTATTGGGCCAGATTGACGGCCGAAGTGGACGAGGATGGAGGACTCGACCGCCCGCAAGCTGCAGCCACAGAACGTGAGGCAGTGTCACCCCCCGAAATTGACGCCAGCAAGGTGCGTCAAGTCCGGAGTTTGGCAGGCAGAAAGAAAGGAGGGAAGAACAAGCCGAAGGAGCCAGCTGGGTCGACCGGACGAAGGGGACGAGGCAGGCCACGCAAGACAGTCACACCGCCAGCGTCCTTGCAAGAAAAGTGTGCAGTTGTTCAGCAGGCGAAGAAGAGGAAGGCACAAAAAGTTTCAAAGAAAGTCGCTGCAGCCTCCCAGTCGCCGAGAAGAAATCCGAAGAGGAGGAGGACGTGCGTGCAAGAGGACGACAACTCCGAAAGCATTAGCGCTTTGTCCTCGAGTGATGCGTCATCGTCGAGTAACGCATCATCGTCGAGTGACGAATCATCGTCGAGTGACGCGTCATCGTCGAGTGACGCATCGTCGTCGACTGCCACGAGCAGCAGCAGCGAATGAGTGAGAGAGAGAGAGAGAGAGAGAGAGAGCAGCAGCAGCGAATGAGAGAGAGAGAGAGAGGAGGGAACTGTTCTTTTTCTCCTCCTTTGTATCCCACTTCGTCATCATCCGCTTCTTCATTCTCATTTCTTTCGTTCATGTCTGAGTCCGGACTCTGTTTTCGCTGACTTCATGGGCGTTGTGGGTAGTGAGACTGTAATGGAGTGTAACAAGTGTGGCTTCTCTGCAATCGCAGCGTTCAATGCACGGAGTTGTTGTGTCTTCTTCTTTTTCTTTTTTTTTCTGTTTTTCTCCCTGCGTCTGCTGTCCGCAAAACTGTGAAACAGTCACCTACTTCGAGTCTTCGACCCCTTTTCAGCCCTCGAACAGCCCCCCAAACCCCTTATAACTGCTAAGCCCCTGAACCCTTCAACCCCCTGAAGACCCCCGCCCCGTGCTGTGAATCTGTGAAAGAGTCACCTGCTAAGACCCCCTTTCGGCCCTCGAACAGCCCCCT